CAAACACTTAGAGGACGACTAATTCAATTAAAGATCATCGCTATTTGAAGATAATGAAGAAGGGTTCAAGAATTACAGGGTTGTCGGCCACGGGAATTGCCCGGAAAAGAACCAGGCGTCCAGGAGTCCTTGCTGCAACAAAGAATAATGCATTAAGGTGCAAATGTACTTCGTACATAGTTTCTTTAGCAGTCAAAGTGCAACACTACGTGCGAAATAGATTCAATGTATATACAATAACATTTATATAAAGAAGTTTGACATTTTACTCATTATTTATTAACATGAAAATCTTGTGGACAAATTATAGTGTAATATTACAATATAGCCATTGTAGTTCTTATCAATTAAATATATTTTTTCACTACTAATAGTTCATTGCATTTATTCAATAATTTCTCTTTTTTGTTTTGTTCTTTTCCTTTCAAATACTGCGAATATAAAATAAAATGTTTCAATTAATTTTAACGATATAAAGTGTTACGTCCAGCCCGAGGTAAATATTTTTTTGAAAATGGATGGGGCTTGGAAGGACGCTCCAAATACCCTCTCGCAGGTGGGCGCGCTGAGGCGTCCTTACGAGTCAGACACACTGTGCTGAGCCGCGAGTCAACGTCTTGAAAAAGACGCTATGACTTCGACTGCGTGACGTGTGTCCGTCGGTCCGTAATTTAGGCAAGAGAATTTAATCTCTTTTGCCAGGGACAGGACCATGCACGAATCTTGGGATAACGGGGAATGAAAGAGGGAGGAAATAACTAAAACGATAAATAATTTAAATTTTACATGTAATTAATAATTTTAAAACGATTACAAGTTTAGCTAACTACAAGATCCGTGTCATTATTTCTTGCGTTGAAATACATTTACTGACGGTATATTTACATTTGATAAAATAATAAAAAAAAGGGGTGTTACGTACAGAAATTCATATAATATAAATGTTCTAAAAATTGACGGATGTATTATTTAATTTCTGTGTACAAATTCTATTATTTTTGTGTGTTTGTCTATATTCTAATTATTCTTATCTTACATAGTTTAATATTTTTAATCTGTATTTGATAATTTTATCTTACGTTGTTAATCTATTTAAATTTGTATTTTGTTATCTGTGTGTGGTTGTTTCGGAGAGGAAGTCGGGTTTCCGATAGTGAGGTCTAGGGGAGGAGGGGAAGGAGTCCGGAGTTCGCAGAACTCGTCCAAGAATTTCTGGGTACGGAAATCTGGATATATCTGGAGGTTAGTGTCATGGCGCTCTGGGAAGAGTGCGCTGAAATCTGGGGGTGATCCAGATTCAAATGGTCTGATCGGGGAATAGGACGGAGGAGATATGTACAAATAATGGGTTCTCCTGCTGAAACAACTCGTGGTTTCTTCGGCATATGTCAAAACCTCGGATGTCCTAGGCGAGGGATAGTTCCCTGATTGACGAGCTCGCTTGTTGCAATGATAACGGAGCCTCTTCAGGGCTCGCCTCCGTCTCTGAGCGTCGGAAAGAGAGAATGATGCAGATTTCACTAGAAGAAATGGATTTGAAATATGAAGGAAATGTCATTGGTCGTGAACCTTAAGGCTATCTCTGAAATATTTCAGGAAACCGAAAGATCCGAGAGGAGAGAAATTAAGAAGGGAAAGAGAAAATTGTAAGAGAGGAGAGAAAAAAGAAAAGAATAGATTTCCCGAATTATTCGGTGGCCATGAACCTGCTGAGTGTTCCACAACGCATAGGGAGTCAGTGAGGTTCGACGGCCGAAGCAAACAGAGAAGAAGCAGATTTTGCCGAATTATTCGGCAGCCATGAACCTGCTGAGTGCTCCGCAACGCATAGGGAGTCCGAGAGGTCCGATGGCCCAAGCAAAAAAGAAAGAGAAAAGAAAGAAAAAGGGAATAGAAGTGTAAGGAGAACAGCAGAGGATAGAAAGGATGTAAGGGAGGAATGAGAAAATATAAGGAGAAGAGACCCGAAAACTATTATTAGGGAATTTTTCTATGTGTAAATAAACTTACTGTTACTCTGGAATGCCGGAGACTTGGGACCTGCGAGATGATGAAGGCGGTAACGGTATCGCCAGGAAACTTGGTCACTTGTACTTGTACTTGGTGAAATTGTTGATTTATTTCGACTGACACCGACTGATTGAATTATTGACAACTGATAAACTGAAAATGTTCTGACCGCGTGAAAAAAAGAAGTAGCAGTGTGCGCTCCGTGCCTTTAAGGGCACTATATATATATATGATTTCCGAAAGAGAAGAATCGTGCAGTCGTCAAGATGTAACATCGGTGTACTTCCGCGATTAGGATAATAGGGATTATCCGCTCAGCCGAATTCTAGAAACCGACCTCCGGAAGAGATTAGTTGCGTAACCGTCGCGATCTAACAGAGTAACAGAACATGTGTCACTCGTTTATCCGCTTAATTAAATTCTAATAACAGATACCTGAAAGAGAAAAATCGTGCAGTCGTCACGACGTAACAAAAGCTTCTCCATTTTTTTATAGGAAAGAATTTTAAAAAATAGATAATTCTTTGACGCACATTGTAACAATGCGTCCCTCCCCCCTCCTGCAGCATCGTTCCGTTCTTCTGCGATCCCCCTGACAGCTGATCGTTTATCCGTTGGTTTAAAGGAGCATAAGCGCTGATAAACTTTTCCAGATTTTCGATTAATTAATCACAATCTACAGACCGTACGTGGAATTCGTGTTACTCAGCGCGATGCGACAGAAATATCCGAGCACGCCCGAAGAAATCCGAATGCATGTTCGAATCGTAACAAACAAGCGAGAAACAAATAATTTATTTTATTGTTGTAATTAGGGAAAACAATACCTACGAATCGAACTGAATCACTCCGAATCATCGATCCGCGGAATATAAAAAGTTTGATCCGACGACAATAAAAGCAGATTCTCGACTTCCTTGGAATCATCTGCTGATTTCGCAGAAGCGAAACCGATTCCGACCCCGAAGAAGAGAGGCAAGAAAACGAAGTTGGCATTCACAGTACCAGCCAGGAGTGTTACTGGTAAGAGTCCGATCTTCATCCTTCCGAATCGCCCGAATCCGCTTACCAGGGAAGAATCCGGGGTAGCGTAGTTCGTTGTCTCAGCCAGACATTACTGGTACTGATCAGCATCTTTATTCAACACTCCGATAAGAACACAGTGCAACGGCAATCGTTATCATCAGGACTGACCACTATGCCCTCACGGCCGCGTATGAGTCTGCGTTCGTTGTCGCGGACGGCCGCCATTGTCCCGCCCTCCGAGGATCGAGGACTGTGATCCGCGCCGAAACCGACCGCGCGCTTCGTCCATCGCCGCATCGTAAGCAGCCATCATACCATTGTATTGTAATAAGCGCTGTAATTATACGGTGTAATTATATCGTGAAGTATCCGCGCATTGTTAGCGCTACTCCCAATTATAAAATCAATTATAATTCTTTTGCTGTAAATAACCGCGTATTAATTAATTGTAATTCTTCGCTGTAAAGTCGCATATTAACCAGTTGTAAAACCCGCATGATTTCCACTGTAAATGCACACGTACTTATAATTGTCAAAGACTCGCGATAATATCTTTTTTTTTAAAGACACGCTATGATCGTTGTATGTATTCTAAATTAACTTTAATAAACAACCAACATCATACAATATTCGCCCTTCTTTCGCGTTCTAAACCCGGCCTAAACCGACGAGTGTATCCGCGTGTAAAGTATTAACAATTTTATACCAGCGTAAAGACGGTCTGTTTTAATATTTATTACTTGTAATCTTATGCGTTCTGATATTTACTACCAATACCAGAAATATAGTTTGAAGAATAGTTTGTGACATATATATTATAAATTTTCAGTATTGTCAGTGAATATTAAAACGCAAATAATGTACATAGATAAAATAATGTATCAGCAAATTTTTTCATATAAGATAAAATTATGACAATACAATTATGCGACACGAATATATCTTGGTCAATAGAATATATTGCTATTAGCTAAACAATTACAACAAAGTTGAATGAACGATATTTTGTAAATGTAATTTTTTAATCATAATTTGTTTTTAATTGTTCAGTACATATTGCCAAAAATATTTAACTGATTTTAATGGTTTAATAAACTCACTCACTCTATTATTTTATTATTATTCCTATTATGATTATTATTATTATTTTTATTATAAAACTCGTATTTTAAAGTATTCAATACATTGTACTGATTTGCTCTCTCGCATAGTCAACACAATGTGAGACGAATTCGTTCAGCGTGAATCGAGCGCATAGACGGATAGCATGTGTACGTGGGGATTTATAATTATTTTTAAAAAATGACGTCTTGGAAAATAAGTTTATCATATGTGATTGAATTTGTATAAAATTAATCTTTAATTTGGTCATTAAAAATTTTTAAATTAAAAACAAAGTATTTCTTAAACAATTCAACTTTTGTATAAAGCTTTTTTTTCTATCTGTTATTTTTAGTTTTGACGATATTTGCTTCGAAAGAAAAAACCGATTTTGTTTTAAAGGGAGTTTCACCCCTTTAACGTGCAGCTCAGCACTTATAGAAAAATATGTGTCTTTTATTTTTATCAATATTTTAATATATTCCAAGCTCATTAAAATCAGGGGAGGACACTTCTATGTGTTTCCTTGTAAGTATCAACATTATAAATAAAATTAATGTAATTTTGACCTTAATTTAAAATTTGTAAATTTTAATTTAATTCATGCATCAAGATTTTTTGCTGTGTGAATCCCGGTATTCGATGAGCCCATCCAAGCTTCCGAACTCAGTCTCCGCGATCTACCAAGTCCGTCGATAGGAATGTTAAGTAGAGTAACGCCATCTTGACGGTTTCAAAAAATCGATTTTTTTGCGCTAAAAAATTCCTTAGGGTCTTAAAAATAAGATACAATTGATCCTATGTGAAAGAAATTTTTTTCTCCCTTTTTTTTTGAAATTTTCTGCAGCGCCTTCGGCCCCTCAATGAGTGGCCGAAAGAGCCGCGCAGCGGCGAAGGAGCAGGTATACATTTCGGAACTCTTTAGATAATGTTTTCAGTTACCTGGCAAGTTGTAAGGAATTTAAAGAAAAACTTGACAAGTAGTAAAAAATTTAAAGAAGAAATTGACAAGTTATAAGAAATTTAAAAAAGAGTAAGAAAGGATTTGGCGGAAAAGAAAAACGAGCAAGCTTATTGAATTATCCTTCTATTATGGATTAGATCCATAATAGTGATTCTGCTGAAAAAATGCGAAATGATATCTGGACAACGCTATATCATAAAATTTCGACAGACGAAAAGCACAAGTGCTGAACGGTCTAGATATATGGTGTTCTTGGCAAAGGGCAAAAACTTGCAATACCTTAAATTTATATACACATAAACCGGCTATGTCTGACGAAGTTTTCAACGCAATTAAGCCTGTGTTTAATCAGTGATAGTCTTAATCGCTGCTTAGGAGGATATAAGCAGAACAACATAACAGCATAAAAGCTTTAATGCCATTGTTTGGCATTCCATTGCATCAAAAGCTTATTCAAGTGGAAAAAAAGTATTGGATATTGCAGCATTTTTATTCGTCTGTATTTACAATGATGGAATGAGCAGTTTAATGCAAATTATGCAAATATTAGGACTCAAAATAGGCATTTATTGCTATAACTTCTGCGAGGAGGCGGACGAACAACGCATACAACGATCGGAGCGCTTGTTGATGGAGATGGCCAAAGAGGCTCGATCTACGCTTAAATCGTCAAAAAAAAAAGAGAATAAACACAATTTTCTTCTTAAAGGACAACTGTATGAGGCAGGAATAGCAGATTAGAGATAAATTTAAATTTACTGTTTTTATAAACGAAAAAAAGTTACTTAAAACTTTAAACGCGTTTTTCTCAAACTTTTTTCTTGAACTAGTGGACACAACTCAAATATTAACCGATTTATTTGAAATTTGGTACATCTTACAAATACATCTTCAAAAATATATATCTCAAAGAAGTAGGGATTTTTCGATTAATTAAAAATTTTTTTTATAAACAAAAAAGTCACGATTTTTTCCATTAAAATTGAATGTTTTTTGAAAAATCTTCACTATTTTCACAAAAATCAAAATTTCGAAAATTCTCTACGTACTTCCCTGGCAAATTTAATATAGTTTAAAAAAATTTTTTTGTTTTTCTTCTAGCTCAAAATTTGCAGCTGCTACCTGTCCGCTAGCGCGACCTTTCAACTTTGGCGATATGTTTATAGATTTCTGGGCATTATTAAAAAAATAAAAAAGGTTTGTATAGATTTTAAAATGTATATAGGCAAATGTAATAAAGGCAAAAAGCGAATTATTGTTAACTCTATTTATTTTCATACGAAAGATCTTCAAAATTTAGGCCCATCAAGATGGTGTTACCCTTAACAGTGAACTTTCAATCACATAATCGGAATGAATTTGTTCCTTACCAACGAATCGTTATTAGATTAACAATGTGGAGTTGCGCGAGTTGTCTACGAACGCAAGAGATTATTATTTCTGTTTTATATGTTTCTGTTCATTAAAGTCTGTTCTTTATTTAAATGATCTTATTTCTATAAATCGCGTGAGTATATGACGTGTGAAAGGACATAACATTATAGATAAAAAATTATTTAAGTTTACGTTTCAAAACATCTTCTCCGAAGAAAATTTTATTCAATATAATATAATTATACGTTATGTATAATATACATTGGAATAAAATTTTCCTCGGAAGACGTTTTGGAATAGCCTTGGATAGATTCTATATTAATAAAAATACGTATAAAAATAAGAAATCATCTTTTAAGATTCTGAATTTTTTCAAAATTTTGGCGATTGATTATATTGAAACAAAATTTTTATTTTTTTAGTTATCGTTAAGAGTAAACGGTGAGCATGTATGCTGTGCTGCTATAATAAACAAGAATTGGGCCGTGACAGTAGCCTATTGTATGTAAGTAAAATAATAAATTTTTAAACAGTGATTTGTTAATTTAAACTAATAAACAAATGCATTTTGTAGAATTAAAGATCCCTTCAAGGAAATTACTTTGTGCAGTGGATCTTCCATTCTTTACAAGAATTGTACGGTTCATCACGTAATCAAATATTTCATACACGAAAACTATGATAGTATAATCAATGATTATAATATTGCTATCATTCAAGTAACACCTGCATTTTCGTATAATAACACGGGAGCCATAAAGTTAACATCAAACAAACATGTTCGTAAAAATCTGGGGATAACCTGTAGTTGGAGATATTATCTGGTAATATGAAGAGAAGTATCTTATTATAATAGTAATCCTATTATAATAGTATTGTAATAGTAGTTATAATAGTAATATTTAATATATAATTAATATTTAATAATTAATATTCACATTTTAGAAGGTAAAATGGGCGTATAAGTCTCGCAGGATGTACGTGTTAATTGTGTATTTTATAAAAGACGAATTATGTATAGAGTAAAAAATTAATTACGTTTCGACCTATATCAGGTTATCTTCAGTGAAGTAAACAAATTAATCACGTGAAGTTAACATATAAGTTATATAAATAAACAAATTAAATATAATGCAAATCGTGAGTTATCGAACGAATAAAACAGTAAAAGGATAATCATAATCAAAATGTTAAACGGATAAAAATAATATTATATTAAATTGGCCAAAAAATAATTGCGTTTTTTTCCAATTTGACAATACATCTCTTGCAATGTAACTAACTTCATTTTAAAGGCAAATTCACTGTATACTCTGAAACAAAATTAAAAAATAACGCTTTCTAAAAAAAGGTATGTACCAATATAAAATTTATTACTAAAAGACTTTTGTAGGTGAAAATTTTTGTATAAAATTCTTTCTTTTACATAAATAAGAAAAGGAGCAGGTGAACTTGATTTATTTTACCTTTTTTAAAAGACAATTTTGTTAGGATATCACTCATTTGTTTAGTAACTAATAATATCTATTATTTAGCATATTTGAAACAGTTTTATACTTTATATATGCTAGAAAGAAACATACAATCAATAATTATTTTTTAATCTTTTGTAAAAAAAATATACACATTTCTTGCTCTTCTAAGCTACTTTTTCTTGTTAATTTGCGCATCATCAATGTTTATCCATTCATTAGATGTTTCATCTACACTCTACATACTTGTACAATAACAATCTTTAATAGATGATCCATGATGAAAAATGGCATTCATTACCTTATAAAATTGTTCCCCTGCTGATATTGTAATTGTTGGTACTGCACGCAAATTAAATTGATCTATTTTTATTAATTTACTATTTTGTTCTGAAAATAATTGTAAATAAATGATAAGTATTTTTCGTGTCAATGTTAATTCATTTTTAAATATTATATCTTTCCCTGTACAATTTTTACATAGGTCATGATATCATCCCGAAAAAGTAATATTTAATTATATATTACAGTACTTACTATTATATGTGACACACTTTATATCTTCTTTTTTATTAATACAGGTTACGTGAAAAGTTTCTAGCCTATCACATAGATAGCAATGATATCAGCAAAAAGATAAATGTATTAGAATATTTCATCTGTCATATGAACACGTGTAAAATTTCAAATCGATCTGTCCATTCATATGTAATGTACAGCTGATTAAAATTGACGTGTCACAGTTTTTTTTTTAATGAAAAAAATCGAAAATCGTGCAGTGATTAAATATTTATTTAAAAAAATTTACCCGGACAAGAAATCCATACCGATATGGTAAATGTGTTAGGTGAACTTGCTCTATCATATGCAACTGTAAAAAATTGAATTGAGTTTAAACGTGATCGTATAAGCATTGAAGATGATCACCACGCAGTGAACGTCCAAAAACTTCATCAACACCAGAAATTATTGAGAAAGTACATGATATTGTTTGTGAAGATCCAGTGTGATTACACGTGATATTGCTGATACTATAGAGATCTCAGATGAACGAGAATGCCATATTTTATATGAAGAATTACATATGAAAAAGCTTTTTGGAAAAGTGGTGCCGCATACGTTAACAATTCAAGAAAAACTGAATTGAAAACAAATTTCTCAGCGCAATTTAAACCGTTTTAATAAGAATAAAATTGATTTTATGCGTCGTTTCATAACTATGGATGAGACTTGGATTTATCATCATGATCCTAAATTAAAACTGGAATGTTTACAGTGGACTGAAGTTGGATGTTCAGCTCCAAAGCAGATAAAGAGAGAACGATCGGCAAAAAAGGTTATGGCATCTGTTTTTTGGGATTCTAAAGGAATTTTTTGATTGATTATCTTAAGAAAGGTGAAACAATTAATTCAGAATATTACTGCAAGCTTTTGGATCGGTTAAATGAAAAAATTCGTGAAAAAAAATCCGGTTTACAAAAGAAAAAGTGTTTTGACAATGGCAAAATTCAACGAATTAAAGTACGAATTGTTTAAACATTTACCGTATTCATCAGATTTGGCTCCCAGCGACTTTTATCTCTTCAGAAATCTCAAACAATTCCTTCGTGGAAAAAGTTTTCCAATGAAGACGCTATAGCAGCTGTAGACCAGTATTTTGTAGAACTTTCAGAATCGCATTTCAAAGATGGAATACACTTATTGGAAAAGAAATGGATTAAGTGTATTGAATTGTTAGATTGTGTTGAATAAAAAATCATAACTCAAACCAAAAAACCGCGTTTTGATTTCTAGGCTAGAAATTTTTCACGCAACCTGTACATATTTCACACGAAAGATATCTGTCAAAGACATATAAAAAAAATGAGCGTTGCAAGAGCTGTCATACAGAAGCGTTCACTAGCGCCTCTTGCGACAGAAAAAACAAAGTCACGATCGATGACGACCGGGACGTTTTTTAAAATTAAACTTTGCGTCGCGATATCTCAATTTGTAGAACACGAAAAAAAAAATAAAATACTTTTCTTATATAATTTGATACTCAGCTATCGATTAAACGTAGTTAGAACTAATCGATGCAGTCGTTGCTGAGATATGAAACCGAGTTCATTCCGGGGTCTCGCGTAAAGAGAGCCACAGACATTTCGCCGCCGTTCGATGCAAACTTCGTTGCGTGTGAACTTGATGTCAGGACACCATCCGTGTCTCTTGATAAGTTCAATATCCTGATAGGTTCAAGTTTTTTTTAGAAAAAAACATACACGATTTCATTAAGAATTGTTTATTTGGCGATTTTAATATCAAAAAGAACATTTTTGTCATATCTTACTCTATCTTACTTCTGAAAAGAAAAAGACGTCGTGCAAGCTCATAAAAAGTTATGTAATGTGTATGGTAAAGATGCTTTAAAATTACGATAATGTCAGAATTGGTTTGCAAAATTTTGATCTGAAAATTTCAATATTAAAGATGTACCACGCTCAGAGAAACCAATCGAAGTTGATAACGACAAAATAGAGGCATTGATCGACTCTAATTCAATGTTTAACAACGAGAGAGTGCTGAGAATCTTACATATCAAAATCGAGTATCGAGAACCAGCGTTTAAAACAACTTGGATACATGAGTAAGCTTGATATTTTAATACCTCATGAGCTCAAAGAAATTGATCTTACTATGCGTGTTAACATCTGCGATTCTTTCTTGAAACATGAAAAAAACGACTCATTTTTTAAACATATGATAATAGGCAATAAAAAATGAATCGTACATAATAACATCAAATGGAAAAGATCGTGGAGCAAACGTAATAAACTTGTTTAGAGCACTTCAAAAGCAGATTCACCAAAAAAAGATAACAGTCTGATGGGATTTCAAAAGAATTGTGTATTTTAAATTGCTTTCAAGGAACCAAACCATTAATTTGAATGTGTACTGTCGTCAACTAGATAAATTAAGTGATGCCATCAAAGAAAAGCGTCCAGAATTGGTGAATCACAGAGGTGATGTGTTTCATCACGATAACCCCAGTCAACACGCTTGTCTAAAAGACGTCTTCAGACGTCTTAAAACAGACATCTTGAAGACAATACCAAAAAGATATTTTTAAGACAACTTTTGGACAATCCTAAAGATGTTTTATTTTAAGATGTCTTTCAGGCATCTTAAAAATAGAAACAGACGTCTTTAAGACAATACTAAAAAAAAAACTTTTAAGACAACTTTTAGACATCCTTTTTAAGACATTTTTAGTTAAGGTCAGTAATGATCATGTAACAATGAGTGTAATTATTACTTTTATTGACTTGCAATCGTAAAACTAATGGAGGGATCGAAGTCGCGGGTAATACGTAGAAGTAAAAGCGCTCCAAAAAAATAAAAAAAGGGCAGAATTTCGGAGAAAAAAGAGTAAAGATAACCAAGAAAAAGCGCGAAGAGAGAGATATAACAAAGAATAAAGGCAAGAAAATCTATAAAGAAATTAAAGATAAATTAAGGAGGAATATACGAGGATAGTCTGAAAAGTTTTGAGCCTAACATAGAAACAAGTATTTTTTCGGTCAAATAGTTCGGTCATATAGTTTTATTTTTCAACATAATCTTCTTTTAAATCGATATACTTTTCCCATCGATATTCTAACCTCTTTAACTCCTCCAGATAATAGTTGGCGTCTTGCTCCGCAAAATAGGCGTTTAAGTATGCGATGACCTCCTCGTTCGATGAAAATCTCTGTCCTCCAAGTGAAACTTTAAGCTTAGGAAACAGGAAAAAGTTGCTGGGAGCCAGATCTGGTCAACCAATTCGAAGTGCAGTTCGTGAATTTTGGCGACCGCCGAAGTGTAAGCAGGTGCATTGTTTTGATGAAACAGCACTTTCTTCTTCTTCAAATGCGGCCATTTTTTTGCAATTTCTGCCTTCAGCTTATCAAGTAATGATGCGTAATACGCTCCCCGTTATTGTTTTACCTTTTTCAAGATAGTCGATACACACAATTCCGTGACTATCCCAAAAAACAGTCGCCATTACCTTTCCAACTGATGGAACCGTCTTCACCTTTTTCGAAGCAGGTTCACCCTTTGCAGTCCACTGTTTTAACTGTTCTTTTGTCTCTAAAATGTAGTGGTGGATCCAAGTTTGATCTACAGTTATGAATCGACGCAAAAAATCTGACTCGTTTCGCTTGAACCATTCCAACAGGGCCTTGGAAATATTCATTCGAATTCATTTTTGGTTCAAAGTGAGCAAGCGCGGCACTCAACGCGCGGATAGTTTGCGCATATCCAATTCTTCAGTCAATATATGACACGTTGTTTCGATATGCCCATAGCCTCTGCTATCTCTCTAACCTTGATTCGACAGTCGTCCAGTACCA